TATATATATATATATATATATATGTATATATTCTCGCAAATCTAAACGTGATTGCATTTCTACGATGTGCTTGGATTAAGTTATAATATCTTTTGCAAGCAATGGAATCTTCCCCATTAAATCTCTGCTGACATAATCGTCTTTGAAAGTTTCACATATTATCATCAATATATTAAATACTAAGCGTTTAGCATATTTATTAGATTATAAGTCGTCGAGCTTTGAGCTCTGTTTGCTCAGTTCAATCGTCAGATCAATAAAAATACGAGATGAAAATTACATAAGTATATTCATATTATATACCATAAAATGGCGTGCAAACAGAGAATAGAGCGATCATAAGGGGTGTATTCCGTTTAATGCACAAACATGATGCACACGATGTGTCATTTATCCTTGTGGCTCATCGAATGTCATGCGCATCATGCGTGAAACGGAATGCACCCATAAGATTGTTCGAGACTTCGATTTTATTTTGACCGGCGTTATTAGTCACGGCTAACGCGATTTCGCGTGGAGGGCCGTGAAGTTAACGACTGCCGAAGATTATAAATCTTCCTTCCTAATGGAAATAAACGCGATTAGAATTTTCAGTCAAGCGTAACTGCTCCAATAAAAAAAAGATGCAGTGTTGCGTAATGCCTCGACAACTCTATAGCGTCTTTTTGCATTGATCTTACTCTATTAATACTAATTGGCATCAGTCGGCGCATACCAAGGAAATAGTGATTTTATTCTGATTCAAGAGACAGATCAGTACAGTTTATGTACTTTATGTTGTTAGATTCAGCGTGATCGGCGCGTGATTCTCGACTTCCCCGATTTCGGAACGGAGTTAAATCGGGCCCTCGCCCGTCGACTCGGGAGACAGCCGCGCGTCGCGATACACGACATACACGTTCTGTATTTTTACAATAAGTGAAATATATTATCCTAATTTCAGTGGTACTCGACTTTATTTGTACGAGTTCCTACATATACAACATATGTAATGCAAATTATTTAAATAGCCAATAAAACAGATTTAGAAAGACACGTTCAAGACACGTGCACGTGTTCGAGGATTAAATTCTCTCTTATAATTACAGATAATTTTGTAATAGTATAGATTTAGAATTTTTAGATTTTGCTACAGTTTGCAAAATAATATTTAAATATAAGAAGAAATAGAATCAGTTAGTGCGTAAAATTAATAATCGCTTTATACGACTAATTTAAACTTATTTATAATTTAAACTTATAAAAATTTAAATTATAATTATAATTCAATAATTATACAAAAAAATATAAAAGAAATCTTTGGTCGCAGACTAACTCTCATTCTCGATTACTTGTGATGATCTCTTTATTGTAGAGGTAAATTTTTTTCGGCCTTCTTTGAAGTAGCTTACTTCGTCATTTATATATAATATTTGAACAATTTTTCGGATATTAGTGTGTACAAAATCTTAGAAAGTTCGAGAAAAATTTACCTTTAATGAAAAGGCCATCACAAGTGTTCGAGAATGAGAATTAAAAACATTCCATGAATATATTTCAGGAATATTTAGCATTAACTGGTTATAATAGAAATAGATAATACTTTATAAAGTGCCGTGTGGCATTTTTCAAAGATTAAAATGGTAATTACTTCTTTAGATGGAAATTAATTTTTTTCTTGAATTCTAGCTAGACATTGTGAATTCAAAATGAACAGAAACATACATATTCGCATGACCTATGATTATATAATCTATGAGGGAGTTAAGTACGATACGAACACATGTGTGCATGGAATGTTTTAAATCTTGATATCTGATGAAAATGAGTAAAATGTCTGATGAAATTCTGTATGACAAACATAGGAGATATGTGATCTCTGCACATTACATTGACATATGAATAATATTTCTTTAAAGTTTTAAATGAGTTATGATATGTTTTCACAATTCAACGAGCACGTGTATGCATATTGAGAATGTTTTAAATATTAATATCTAGAGATCAGTATATGTCATTTGGCGAGTTTGTTTCGTTTATATTCTTAAGACATCCAAGTATATTATCGTATGACAACAGTAAGATGTGAAAGAATTTATGAAAAAAGTGCCTCTTCGAATAAGACACGGCGCGGGGGCGCCTGCCGACTTACCGGGGCCGGCCGGGTTGCCTTACGCGTGAAAGGCCCATCGGCCGGGAGCCCTAGAGTAACCGAAGGCTTCGCGGCGCGAGGTGAAGTTGACGGTTTGCGGGGAGAAGAAGGCGGAGATTTCCGCGGTGGAGTTGGACTTAATTCGAATGGTCCTGGTGATGGGGGTCTCGACTCCGAGTCGCCCCGCGGAAGTGGAGTGTCGAAGACGGCTGGGTCAAAATTCCCACCCTGGTAAAGGTCCTTGCGGAGTTGCTCCAACTGCCACTTCCGCCCTCCCTTACTCGTTTTGACGGTCCTTAATGATTAAAATGATTCATTTTGAATTTTTTTTCTTTCCCTTTTTGTTTCTCTTTAATTAAAGTTACCTGTATCTGTACTTTTTGTACACGTCCATTGTATGCGCGTATAAGTTAATAGAATGTGTCACCTACGGTAAATGTGCAAAAGAGTTAGTAATGGTTAGCCAAGCGACCGCAATGTAGTAAGAAAAGAAAAAGGTTTCTATTTTTGAATATGATTCTATTCTTTGTTTGGTACATATGTACACCGACGATATATATTATATTGACACTCTGTAATTTAATTACAGAGTGTTGATGTTATCGACTTTTAAATTTGCGATTATATTTGAATAATACAATATTATATTAAAATCATGATCTTTTCTAATAGAAGGGAGCATTTTATGATATTCCATTCCTGTTACATTTGCGCATTGCGCGCCGCACGCGCCCGCTGCACACCAAACGCGCGCCCTGTTTGCCACACGCGCGCGCTCTAAGCCGTGTATGCGTGATCGCCTCTTACGCGCGGTTGATTAGTGCGAGGGGGAAGGATAGGAGGGAAGAAGATGAGAGAAAGAACGGAGCAATGACCAGTGCGCATGAGAGAGGCAAAGGAGAAAAAAGGAGCGCTAGAGATAGCGCGAATTATAATAAGTGAATAGAGAAGAGAGATAGAAAGGAGCACCGGATAACCAGTGCGAAAGGGAGGAGAAAAAAGGAGCGCTAGAGATAGCGCGAATTATAATAAGTGAATAGAGAAGAGAGATAGAAAGGAGCACCGGATAACCAGTGCGTAAGGGAGGAGAAAAAGGGAGGAAAGAGAGATAGAAAGGAGCACCGGATAACCAGTGCGTAAGGGAGGAGAAAAATGGAGGAAAGAGAGATAGAAAGGAGCACCGGATAACCAGTGCGTAAGGGAAAGGAAAAAGGGAGGAAAGAGAGATAGAAAGGAGCACCGGATAACCAGTGCGTAAGGGAGAGGAAAAAGGGAGGAAAGAGAGGTAGAAAGGAGCACCGGATAACCAGTGCGTATAAGGGAGAGGAAAAAGGGAGGAAAGAGAGGTAGAAAGGAGCACCGGATAACCAGTGCGTAAGGGAGGGGAAAAAGGGAGGAGAGATAGAAAGGAGCACCGGATAACCAGTGCGTAAGGGAGAGGAAAAAGGGAGGAAAGAGAGATAGAAAGGAGCACCGGATAACCAGTGCGTAAGGGAGAGGAAAAAGGGAGGAAAGAGAGATAGAAAGGAGCACCGAATGATCAGCGCGTAACGGAGAAGTAGAAGGGGAGGAAAGAAAGATAGAAAGGGGCACCGGTTGACCAGTGTGAAGAAAAGAGGGGTTAAGGGGAGGAATAAGCGAAGGGCTGGAGGTGACGCGGATTACAGCGCAGCAAGAAAGAAAAGAAGAAGATTAATTATTTTATTAATTGAGTTCATAAGTACTTACCGTTCTATATGCCACCGTGATGTCTGATCATCAGCGCTGACCAAATACGAATGACACGAAGTGCTGCAGTCAAGCGCTTATATACGAACAGCTTGTTGGTTGGAGGCGTGAGGGGTAAAGGGAGGTTGCTTTTAAAATCTGTGTTTCGTCTTCTGTGTGGGCATTTTATGGTATTCCATTCCTATGCGCATTGGCGCGCCGCACGGCGCCCGCTGCACGCCAAGCGCGCGCCCTGTTCGCCGCACACGCGCCCGCTCGCCGCACGTGCGCCCACTCGCCGCAAGTGCGCGCTGTAAAGGCAGGAGCACTAGAGTTCCTCAGGAGCACAGGCTTTTGCATAACGCTGCATAACGCACAAGACATAATGTAATAAATAAATAAAAAAATCAATAAATAAAAAAATCAATAAATAAAAAAATCAATCAATAATAAGTGTCCTTCATTTCATACTGTACTAAAAAATTAGGTGACTTTTTTGAAATTTTTTTTTAGGAAACCATTTAACCAATTCTTTTGAACTTTATAGAATAATTTCTTATACTATTGAACTAACAAAAAAATATTTTTTTGCCAGAACAAAATATTTATTATGCAAGTAATAATAACATTTATTCGGCGATGATGGTGTTTGGCGACGTGCAAAATAACTCAAAAACTTCATTCATCCGATTGATTTGGACCTTTGCACATATCTGCACAAATATTTCTCTAATAACTTGAACCACAGTTTATAATAATATTATTTAATTAAATAATTTTTATTGCATAATAAACACGAAAAATTTTTTGTCAAAATCGCTACCTTCTTTCTCAAGTGTCGCGATTTTCACAATTTCGCATTATTTTCTTTAAAAATAGATTCAGTTAATGCGTAAACTCTTAATAAGCAATAATCTTTTTGGATTTTTTATTTCAGAGAAATACAAGCAATGCTACATTGCACACCGCCAAACATCATCACGGCCGACGCGCCGAATAAAAAGTTATTATTACTTGCATAATAAATACTTTTTTCTGGCAAATAAATATTTTTTTGTTAGTTCAATAGTATAAGAAATTACCCTATAAAGTTTAAAAGGATTGAAATTAAAATTAATAATAGGTCTATTTAAAATTTAAGTGCAAAACAGATCGATCAAAGTCACGAGCGGTTCTTGATGCCCAAAGTTTCTTTATTATAACATTAAGTTACATTAATGATATATAGTATACGAACGTTTCGACTCATTTAGAGTCATCTTCAGCACAATAATGTCATAACGTGCGAGAGCAATAAATGATCTTTGTTCCTGATAGAATGAGTCACTGTGGGCTACCTTTTCCGAAGCGGAATCCTTAATGTTTAAGGGAGAAACAATCTTGGATTGATTGCTTTCTCTGAAAATATGTAGAAATTTTATATATAATCCTAACTATATTTGACTTATTTGAGGAATTATTTTCGGAACTTTGACTCACTCCAATTAGAACGAGAATTCTCATGAAACTTTGGAAGTGAAATGATGCAAACACACAAGTCGTATGATCGTTAACAACTCAAAACTTATTAAATGCGTGGCCGCATGATCGTCAAACAAACAAACAATTTAATCGAAACGTTCGTATACTGTATATTATTATTGTAATTTAATGTTATAATACAAAAACTTTGGGCACCAAGAACCACTCGTGACTCTCGAATTAGCCTGTTTTATACTTAAGTTTTAAAAGGATTGGTTGTATAATTTCCTAAAAAAAAATTTCAAAAAATCACCTAATTTTTCAGCGTGCTACATTAGCTCCCCCCTTAATTCTATACTATTTTCATGCGATTAAATGACAACTCAGATTTTTATTCTTTAAATTATTATTATTGGGGATCTCAGGATAGTGCGTGCAGGACTCGTAAGAGATCCCAATGCACTTAATCATTATTTAATCCATATATACACATATATACGAAAAAGGACAAAAAAAGAAAAGAAAAGAAATTATTAATAACTGAAATGCTCTCAATCGTCAAGAAAAAAAGAAAAATATAAATTTGCAATGAACAAGTATAGTGAAGTAACATACAGCGCAAATATATAATACGCGTGTTCTATATGAAAAAAAAAAAACGGAACAGAAGAGAGAAAAGAGGAATACGTGCGTTTCCGCATAAGCGTCGGACGCGATACTCAATAAAATTTTGTACTCTCTAAATTTTCTGGAGTGAATCTCACTCCAAAAGATTGAAAATGCTGCCACTCGGCCATTTGAGTGACAGTATTTTCACTCTTTTGGGGTGAGATTCATTCTAAAGGAGTGAAAAGTCACTCCAGAAAATTTAGAGAGTAGGGGAAGGCAGGGCTAGTTGTCACAGAGACAAGTTATTAGAATGACTAAAAAACCACGTCCTCGCACGTGCCAAGGCTCGTGCGAGTTCGAACTTGTTACGGTCATTGCACTCAGCTGTGCTCAGACGTGAAATGACGTTAACGCAGACGTGTTTATTTCGTAGTTACATTTTGACTCATTGTAACAACTTGCCTCTGTAACAACTAGTCCCGCCTTCCCCTAATATTAATGTTATGTCTTTTAATGGTTTCCCTACATTTTTTATTATTATTACTATTTTTTACTTGATATTCATTTTTATAGTATTTTCATCCGTGCAGACATAATAATAATTTTTTTTAGTTTGAGTTTATTCTTTGATTCTTTCAGAACATAGACGATTCGACAGCCGTTCCGAAAAAAACTATAAGCGACAGTAACAGAAATCCCGAGATTACTTATGGCATTGATGACGCTCCGCCGTGGTATCTGTGTTTATTCATGGCATTGCAGGTTTTGTATTATCTGTTTTTCGCTTTATTTCCGTACTTGCTTCTTATTTCTAACTTAGAAAACGAATTATTTAAACAATATATATACATATATTAGCGATCTGTGAGTGAAAAATGCAGCAAATGTTCTAATAAGGAAGTAAAAATAAATTTTCTAATTTGAAAATATGAAGCAGACTAAATATCTCGTATAAATAAGCTTGCGCTTATTCATGCTTGCGCTTTATTGCAAGGCCTTTTTATTCTTTAAGATAAAAATAATAGAGACGCGTTAACAAGTTCTAAATAAATGTATATTGTCTTAACATACTGTGTGTGCTATAAATTTTATGGAGCGAAACATCATTAACATATGTCGATTTTATTTACATTATTTTTGAAAATATGCACGCACGCACACACATACGCACACACACACACACAACACACACACACACACACACACACAC